TCCCCGTCCCCACGAGGGCATTATTAATTTCGTACTGCTCCCCGTCGTCGTCGGTAATATTATTGTCGGTGACTTGGCGGAGCAATTCCGGGGCTCGGCGGAGCGCGGCGGCGGAGGGTAGTGCGAGGACAAATGCACACGTTAGAATCAGGAACAGTGATCGGCTTCCCATTTTTTGCTTTGTTTCTTCTTTTCTCGTTGCTTCGGGTGTGCCGTTTGGCGAGCTCTTTCTAATCTTCGTCTTCGTGACGTTGGAGAAATCTTCAAGCTGCGGAATTACCATTCTGTCCAATAAAACTCAGTTAATTATACGGATTGCTTAATTTTGGAAGTTTGAGGTAAAATTACCATGTTTTTGTGTATTTGTCCTAAATTATTTTGCGCTAAAGAAAATATATTAAGTTAAATTGCAAGGTTTTTTTCTTCAACCAACCTTCACAAGTTGAGTTATTATTTTAATTTTTTGTTTTAAATTTTTTTGTTTTTTGTATCTTTCTTTATCCTACATTTGAATTTTTAGTTAAATTTTAAAATAAAAAATATTTTTTTACTTTACTTTTTTGTTTTTTAAATTATACTTAGATTTTGGAATCTTTTTTTTTTTAATTCAAAACATGGAAATATATAAGCAGGAGTGGTATTTATAGGTTTTAACTTTTAAAAATATAAAATATTTAATAAAAAGTTATCAATTCGAGTAAGTTAAATAATTGTAAATTTGTTGGTTAAATTTTTAAGTTGTATTTGATAGGTTATTTTAAATTAAAAAAAAGTCTAATTAATGACTTCTTGAATGTTTAGTATCGTATTTAACGAATCTCCAAATTTTAAAAGTTCTATAAGCCTTTTTTTAGTACTCATTTCTAATGGTTTGGAGTTCTGGAATTGAGTATTTTTATTTAGAAAAATAAAATATATACATATAATTTACAATTTATTTTTCCTTTTTGAAAATCCGGGTTTCTTAAACCGACAAAGGGTATAATTGTAAATGGGAGTGAAAGATAGGTGGCAAATCCTATATCGATGTATGCTTACGGAAGCGACACGTTGAGGCCATGTATGCAGTCGTGGCATACGCCTCTTCGCCTAAGTGTCAGAGACCAAGTCAAAAATCTGTTCGTACGTCAAAAATACTACGTCCATACGATGTCGTATTGAAGTCTAAATCTACGTACTTCCAATTTTTCTTTTTTTTTTTTTTCAAAATACTTCCGTCATGTTTAATCTCCGTTTTGGCCTCTGAAATTAGTCCCATGTAATTTCAAATTTCAATTTTTTTTTTTGAGAAAAGAATTTCAATATTTTAAAATATATAAATTATTTGAACTTCTTAATTGAATTTTGAACTAAATTGATTTCAAATAATTGAAATTAATATTTTTTGTTTGGATGTTTACGAAAAATGCAAAAGAAATATAATATTTTACTATCATATCTTATAGTTTTACAATATATTTATTTATTAGTATCAATTACATGTAACCA